TGTAGCTCTCCTTTTGAGAGTTGTAATTTATTTATCAGTCTTTTTTCCTTTTCTTTCTTTAGCCTATATGCCAGCCATCTTCCCGGCTTATTGGCATTTTCAAAGAAGTTCTGTTTGGACCGTTTGATCTGCTGTGCCAATGTATCCATCTCTGCCAAGTTTAATTTATGTTTTATAATCTCCATTTGTTTCTTAAGGATTTTCTTTTGCGGGTCAGTTTATAATTCAGATTCCAAATTTTTAAATTCTTCTCTCAGGTTTGACTGTAATTGTTTCTTTTCTTTATTCTTTTTGTTAGTATATGTTATGGCCAAGCCTCTAAAATACGCTTTTGCCATGTCCCACACATTTTAAAGGGAGGTTTCTTATTTCCTGTTTATTTTGAAGAAGAATTCCATTTCCCTTGTCGCTAATTGTAGAAATTCTTTCTCTTTCAGTATAGATTTGTTCAGAGACCATCTTAATTTTTTCTTGGTGCCTTTCCAGGTCATTTTTATTGGGTTATGATCTGCCCAGACATTAGTTTCTATCTCAATATCTTGTATTATCATTTTCAAATCATAGGATGTCCATATCATGTCAATTCTAGACCAAGATTTATGCCTATTTGAGTAAAATGTATATTGTGATTTTTCTGGATTCATCTCTCTCCATATATCTTGAATAGACAATTCTTCTTTCATTTTTAAAAAGGCTTTAGGTAAAGTATTTCCCCCTTTTCTACCTTGTTTATGACTTTTATAGTCCCGGGATGAATCTACTATTGCATTGAAGTCTCCCAATTAGAAAGATTTTGATAGTTTAAGTCCATTATTTTGTTATGTAATTGGTGGTAGAATTGCTCTTGCTTATCATTAGGTGTATATATTGCAATCATTAGTATCTGTTTTTGATTGAGCATGATTTCCACCATTAATATTCTCCCCTCTTCATCTGCATAAACTTGTTTAGGGTTCATCTTTTCTTTTATGTAGAGAGCTATACCTCTTTTCTTTTGGGGTGCAAGTGTAGAATACAGCCTGCCCATTTTCGGTTGTTCTAAAATTCTAGCATGTTGTCTCTTAATATGTGTTTCTTGTAAGCAGATTATGTCCATTTTTAACTTTTGTAGTTCAGTAAAAGTTTTTCTCCTCTTTGAGGGAGAATTCAGTCCATTTATATTTATTGATAAGATTCCAATCTCATCCATGGCTTTAGTTGTATCTGGATCTCAATCTTCTAGGCGATCTGATCTGTCTCTGATCTCTCGGTCTTGTTTCTTCCTCTGGTGTGGTCTTTTTAACTTTTTCCTCCTCTAATTATTCAGACGCTCCTACAACATCCATCTCTTCTTGCTTTTTAGATTCAGGGTCCCTTTTTTCCAAAAAGGATCTGTGCTTATCAAAGAATATCGCTGCTTTAAGCGAGGTGTCCAATCTATATCTTTTTGAGTCCCAGAAGATTAGTATCCCTTCTGGGACCAACCATCTAAAGTTTATTCCTTTGTTAATCAATTTCCTGGTTAGAAACAAATAGTCTCTTTGAGCCTCTCTGATCCTTCTAGGGATTTGCTTAAGGACTAGTATTTCTTTTTCTTTGTGTTTTAAAGGTTGGTCTCTTACTATTCTCAAAATCTCATCTCATATAGATTTTTTAAGGAATCTAACATGGACTTCTCTAGGAACTCTGTTTCTTCTGGCATAGCTTGAGTTAACTCTGAAGGCCTGGTCTATTTCTTCTTCCATTTGGGTCTTTCCCATTCCTAAAAGGTCTGCAAGTAGCTCAACTATCAATCCTAACACGTTCTCATCCTTATCTTCTATTATGTTTTAGAATCTTAAGAAGTATGATGCTCTTTCCATCTCTATCACCGCAAGGGAATTTTCCAGTTCCATATTTGTTTGAGCCAGTCTTTGATTCTCCTCTTGTAAGGACTCTAATTTATGATCAACTTCCACTGATTTATCTTCTATCTTTTGGATCCTTTGTTGGTTATCTGTAATCGCCTGTTGGAAGTTTTCAATTTTTTGAGTCATTTTAGCAAAATCATTTTTCAGATCTTCATAATTTTTATCAAGGTCTTTTTTCAAATTTTTGTATATTTTAGTCAAGTAGGCCACCTGGGCTGTGATTGCCTATAATATTGCCTGGGTGTCCTTTTGTTGGGTTTCCATTTTTTCTTGTTGTAACTCTATAGTAACTGATTTTTGATAGACTGGACTGGCGGAAGTCGAGGCAGAAGCAGAAGATCCTTTTCTCCCAGGTTTAGTCAAGTTTGAAGTGCTCATTGTTGTATTGATATATTATGTTATAATCCACCAGGTGGCCCAATGGCCAGTTGTAATCCAATAAACTCCTATTGCTAGGAGGGAGAGTCAAAAAAAAGTTGGAAAAGAAACTTAATAATAATTCCAACAAAAGGAAAGAAGGTCCATAAAAAAATTATATCCAATGGAAAAAAGTCAGCAAGAAAAGGGAGGATGAGATAAATAAAAAAGACAATAAAAATATCCAATTTATAGTCCAGGAGCTTCTAGTCAAAAATAAAGAAAAGCACAAAAAGGAAAAAAGAGGAAGAAAGTTCCACAGTATTCACAATATTCAGATCTTCATAGCAGAGCATTTGTAATCCAAGACAAGGATGACAACAAATGTCATATATATATAGGATAGATAGTCTGTATTATACAGGCAAGCTCAAGCAGAGATAAAAAAAGGAAAAAAAGCAAGTCTCTCAGCTGGTTTTGAGGTCAGATAAGAATATCTGGGCATACAGCTAAGTGTCTGGGCATGGAGCCAAGTTCCTAGTCAAAGTAAACACCAGACATGTGACAAGAGATACAAAGTATCCCTTCGCGGGGCTAAGTAAAGGGGAAAAAGGAGCAGCCCAGAGTAGAAGGAAGAAAAAAAATGTTTATAAAGTTTTAAAAATAGAGAGTTAAAGTGGCTTTTCCACATTTAAAAAATTAGAAAAAAAAATAGAGCTCCCCAAATTTTCTATTCAGGCTTAAAAAAGTTTACTGTATTAAAAGTTTGCTTCCCAAGATGCAAAATGCGAGTGGCTTAAACCACCGCTTCTATATGGGGGGGGAGAGAAAAAAAGACCTCCCCCTCCCTAAGAGCTCACACTCCAACTGAAGACAGGATATTTTTTAAAAAAAGAGTTCACCTTCAACAAGAACAAAGAGCCTGTTCTCACCCGGCTTGGTTGCTTGCCATCAATCTATGCTGTTTCTCCATCTCTGATGATCAACTGTTAATGGCGGATCGCATGATCACAGTCGGCCTTTCTTCTGCTGGTTCCAGGAGCTGCTTTGATTTCAGCAGGCCGGCTGCCACCAGCCCGTGATCCTCAAAGGTTCGCCCTTCAGTGGCCACCTCTCCGGGGTGGCATTTGGCCCCAGAGGGCCCACCTTCAGAAGAAATTCGGACCTGGGGAATGGAGCGTTTCCCCCCGGGTCTAACCTCAGCGACAGTCACTGGAAATCCCCAAATCAGAAACAATATTGATGGTATCTGAATATATTTTATTTCCTAGAGTCAATTTTATTCAGTGTATTGAATACTAATCTCTTAAGTGTTTCAAAGAAAAAATGTATTTGGTTTAGAGAATTTAAACTCTATTATTAAGAAATACTAAGAAAGCTGAAATAGAAAAGTTGGTTGTATTAAGTCAGAGATAGACAGTCTAAGCTCAAAAAGCCCAAAAAAGCAGCTCTCAAAAGCCATATTTGAACTTTTCCTCATATTTTGAAGTGGGAGCATGCGTAAGATATAGTATGGGACCATCATGTAAGTTTAGCATGGCATTTTAAGTAATAAATATATATGTGTGCTTGTATAATCTTAATAACCAGGACAACGCTCCCATCAAAAAACAGAAAATCTTAGACTCTTCCATGTCATTTCATAGATTGCCTACTTTGCCCCATGGTTTATATCTATTATTCTTAAGAAATTCTGTTATGTATTAGTTGCTGCATTTAAACCTTTCATTTCAGGATAAGGCTACCAGATGGAAATTATCAAGAATAATGATTCTTTATTAATTAACATTCAGAATTTTCTGAATTTCTTCGTTAGTTGCATAGTCTGGATTTTATTTATTTTTTCTTTTGGTAAAAGAAAGACCTAAAAATCTGAAGAAAGACTACATTATTTTTATTTTGCAATAAACATTTGTTGAGAAATTGAATGTTTCTAAACTATTGCAATCTGTTTGTCTTAAAGGGTTACATATATGCCACCATATTCTTGAACCTTTGTTACAGTAAAGTTGTAATTTACTAATGATAATAGCATCCTATTAGTTATTCTGCCTTCAGAGATAATTACATACATTAATAGAAAACCCAGAACCCGGCTGGTCAGTAGTAAGTGCATTTCCATCAAATTTTTGAGACTACTGAGAAAATTAAAAAGATACTGATATGCATAGAGGAATTCCAAAGAAGGCGGCAAAGATGATAGAGGAAACCAATGGACCATAAAATATTCACTGATTATCTGAAAGAGAGGGAAAAAATGGGAAACTGGTAATGATGGAGAGGACTGGATAAATGCAAAGGTGCTTAACTGATGTGCTCAGAGCTAATCCTACAAGTCTGAAGAATAATGGGCTTTAAGCAATAGGTTTTAGATAGATGTATTAATTAGACAATTACTGTATTTTTACAGACATTAAAATAGAAGGATTCTTGTGTAACATTCTACATATTTCAGATGAGCAATATCTCTGTCTAGCTTGAAGATAGCTAAATAGAAAACTGATGTCGTTTGGTTTCTTGATGGTGTTTTGTTGCTAATTTTAATTTGTTTGCCACCCAGTGTCATATGTCAAACGAACACCCTTCCTTTCCTGTTTTGAGCCCTAAAGAATTATCAGTGTTGCAGTTTAGGGAAAAGAAAAAGATCCATTCATTAGTATTTCTAATAAAATTTGCAGTGTAGGTAACTTCCAGTTTGTGTGTTCTCCTTAATTATGTTGAATCATTATTTCTCTCAACGTCTTCTTTTTACAGCTCATCATGTTAAAACTGGAACTTGTGAAGTGGTGGCTCTCCACCGATGTTGTAATAAGAACAAAATAGAAGAAAGATCACAGACAGTCAAGTGCTCCTGCTTTCCTGGGCAGGTAGCAGGTACCACTGAAGCAGCTCCTTCTTGTGTTGATGGTGCGATATCTTTGGTGCTTTGTTCTTTCTTTCTGAGTTGTAGCTCTCCTAAGATTGATTGTTTTAAATGAAAACAATCATTGAACAATATATATACTGTATGAGTAAATTATTTGTGTCTTGGGAGTATGGTGAAAGTACTTAAAATGAAAAGTAACTAGAGATTTTAAAATGAATTATGAAGTCTGACAATGAAATAAAGCCCTTATGAAAAAGAATGGCTATATAGCCTTTATACTAGAAAACTGTATTTTTATTTTGTTTATTTGCACATCAGACTACCTTTTCTTTTCTCCCGATGCAAATAGCAGACATCAGAAGGTGCAGCAACTCGAGCCACGAATAATTTACTCATACAATGCACACTTATGTCTTATAAACTTAAAAAAAGTATGTTGGATCAGATAAAATACTATTTTAGTCCAATGTCCATCCCTTCTATAGCATATAAATAATTTAACAGTACCTCAGTACAGTATTAATATTTCTCACCAATGAATATTCTATATTCACCCTGATAATATTTCTGTGATATAAGGGTAAAAAAGATTTCATTAAAAACAATAGGCTTTTTTCTTCCTCTTCTTTAGCCTCAATTGTAGAACAAAAATGGTGGTGCCATATGCAACCATGTCTTGAAGGGGAGGAATGCAAGGTCCTCCCAGATCGAAAAGGATGGAGCTGTTCATCTGAGAACAAAGTGAAAACAACAAGGGTAAGAAGGAATTTCCCATAAAATCTTTTGTAAAGAGAATTCTAAACTCGAATGAATAAGGTGAATAATTCTTAAGTATGGAATAATTATAACAGAGAAAAAAATTGGCTTGGATATATATCAAAGGGAATATGGTAAATTATTTATGAATATTTTACTTTGATGCGTTTATTCTAAGTACGATTGTGTCTAGATCTAACAGTTATTTTGATTTAACTGTTACCATGACCATTATTAATAATTGATCTGCATGCCTTGAAATTTAATATTCATTCTTAGTGATGAACCAAACTGGACTTGTAGTCAGATTCATATATTGAGCTAAATATTTTTTGGACTGTTCTTTTATCAAGTACATTTATAACTGCTGATTATCATCAGTTCAAAAATTCAAAATATTCATTCAATAAATAAAAATGTGTCTTCTAAGGTTTAGCCTTTCTTTAGATTGATTTCATAATGAAAACTGAAGAAAGAACTTTCTTAAGAGGCAAGTCCTTTTATCATGGAAATCTCTGATTCACTCCTTAATTAATGTTACTTATGCTTTATCCTAATATACATATTTTGCTTAATGTTATTTCCAAAATACATATCTAGAGAGTAAGTCATATTTAAATTAATGGATCTAACTCTTAGATTGGTCTTTACCAAATAAGCTTAGAACAAGGGAAGACAGAAAGTAGATTCTATGAGATGTTGCTTTATGGCAAGTTCATTCATTAGGAGATTTTTAATTAATATATATCAGGATGGAAACCACATTAGTATGAAAAATGCCATGAGAAAATCAATATATGTTGTTTCATTTTCCAGTAAACTCATGTTATCATTGCTTATGAGAGAGTTCATATGAAATTGGTTTCCGGAAGAAAACTCATTCTTAATTCACAGAAAGTTACTTAGATGAATTGCATACTCAGACCAATATTTTATGACCTACTTTTCAGTAGCTTCCTTAAATTTAAAGATGAACACCTCAGAAACATCTGGCTTTATATTCCAAAATGTAAATTATTACATCTAGGAATGTTTCTTTGCAAAGGTGGTATGGTTTGTTGAACAATGGTCTTTTTGCTCTCAAAAAGCAAAGAAAAGTAAAGGTGCTTTCTTTAGTGATTATAATTTCCTCTTCCTTCTGTGCCTACCATATGTGCCAGGGATAAGAAATCTTTGATTGGTCACTATCAGCACAACATGATTTCAAAAGTCATTGTAGTTTGAGCAAGGCTGGAGAAATAGAGAAAATATTGAAGCTCTTTTTGTACTGAACAACATCTACTCAGCTTCTTTTGCGCATGCATTCCAAAAGGTTTTTTGATATTATGAGGGTAACAGATACCTGGTTTCCAGTAGGAGAAATCATGTTGCTCTACAATGTATGCTCTGTGTCTGAAATGAAACTTGAAGGCTTTAATGATTACCCAAATGGCTCTGAATTGATAGATTCCCCACCCAGGCATTATAATAATTGGTACAATAATATAATCATCTGGGACTTCCGGTTCTGGATCACGGCGTGTGCAGTCTTGCGGAGAGCTCCGTCTCTTCACCGGCTGCTTTCCCTCCGCCGGTAGACCCTTAATTGGGCCAAAACGTCACCCTGGAGGGGCGACTACCATTGAGGAGGCCCTCGTTGACTGCGGAAGGGCGGCAGCTCCTTCCGCGGTTCGAGCTAGCTCCTTGGGGCCGTCAGAGAAAAGATCGGCCAGTAAAATGGCCGATCACCTAGCTGCACCAGCCAAAAGTCAGAAGAACAGCTAAGCATGAAGAACCACTGTGAAGAAATCCAGGTGAGACTTTTCCTTCCCTGTCTTAGCCCTAACTATTTTCCTGTAAAAAGCCTCTGAATGACTTCCCTGCCCTAAGAGAGCGCTGTTTGTTTACTTGGAGAAAAAAGCTTTGAACAAAACTATAAAACAGTAAATTTTTATTGGATATTTAATTTTTTGGATATTTTTGGGCCATGAAAAAATCCTTATCAAAGAACATTATTATTATTTTATCTACTATTGCTGGAGATATTTGCTTCCCCCCCCCCTCTATTTTCCTAATGAGATTTAAAAAATTTAACTCGGAAAAAAAGATTTTACAGCCTACTGAGGACATCTTGTGGTGAAAAGTGTTACTGCAATTGTACTTTCTCTTGGTGTTTGAAGATGGATTTGACTTTCAAATGATAATAAAAGGGAAAAGATAAAGGCCTTGAAGCAGCTGTGGACTGAATTTACTTACTAGAAATTGTGGAGGTGGATATTTGTTGACTTCTAATAAATATAGCTTCTACTAAAAGACTATTTTATCATGGAAATGGAGAAATCTTACCCACAGCTTGATTATGAGCTTATATTGGAAAAAATCCTGGAAGCTACAGAGTACAAGAAATCTTGGAGAAAAATTAAATATCATTTTGCAGAGCCACAAGCTGAATTTTAAATTTTAATGGACCAACCTATAGGCCAAGGAACAATAAAGGAAGAACAGACTAGCTTTAAAGAGGCCTATATGCAACAGTGCACATAATTTAAAGAGATAGAGGGAAAAGATACTGATCAATTGAGCTCTAGAAAAATGCTTGATTTAAAATCTCAAACTGAGACTCTAAATCATTCCACAAGTCAACTAATCACTACAGAAGAGGATATTTCACAAGCCTATGTACAAATTATGGAGAACTCTGATGATCAAAGAATGAGTTCAACTGAAATACTTGCAGTCTTAAAAGCAACAGGAACTGACTTTCAGACACGATCTATTGAAAGCCATGATAATCTGGATAATCAACTAGTAACTACAACATGGAACAAAATTGACCATACTATCCAGATGATACTGGAAGAAAGGGAAGAGAACTTAGACCAGATTGATGTGTCGATAAATACCCGTGCTCAAATACTGAGATTTGATGATACAGATGCGACATTATGGAAACCGGCCTGGCACAGAAAGAAAGCTAGAGTTAGATTTAAACATGTGATTTAAAATTTTACTTAATGGGTTAAAAAGGCTTTAGAGATCTGGACTGATTTAAGAATTAACTGAGTATGTGAAGTTAGCAAGATGATATTTTGTGCTTGTTTTAGATATGATAATTATTTGGATGAGATTTAAATCTTACCTAATGGGCTGAAATGATTTTTTTTTATAGAAATAGACTGACTGATAGATTATATATTTAAAATAGGGATAGAGTAATGTTTCTATTTTAAGTAGGATAACTATTTTGTAGTGGAAGAAGAAATAAGAGAGATTTGTGATAAGAGAAGAATTGGTACTAATCAATGACTTATTAGACTAAGAATTAGAATATATCTGGAAATATTAGAATGTTACTGTTGGAATATTATGTGTATTGTAGAAGGGATACCCGAAGTGCTAATAATATGTTTATTCAAGATTAAATTGGATTATGGTAATTGTAAATTAGTAAAGCTTAAAAACAGGATTTGGGTTTACATATATGTAATGTAGAAATGGATTAACCTAAATATGTTATACTATTTGAGGAAAATAGAGAGGGAACATTTAATGAATTAATTTGAGATATGTATGTATATACATATATCCACGGACATCCAGATAGAGGATAACCAATGACCGAGAGGTTCTCCCTCCACCTCCACCCCCACCCCTCCCCCACCCCAAAAGCATACACGCGCCCCTGAAGACTATCGACAAGGAGACTATCGAGTGACGAAGGGATGGCAGTTAGCGAACCAGGGACTCCACCGTGTCTCCCGAAGCATCTGGGAGGAGTAGCACCACCTACAAACATTCAGGTGGGGGATAACCAAGGATCAAAGGACCCCTCCACCCTGGGAGCACGTACGCGCTCCCAAAGAACAAGGGGGTTGTCGGGTGGTAAAGGAATGACGACCAATAAAGCTGGGATTCCCCTGGACTCCCCGAACGGGGAAGACAGGAGGAGCCGGCTCGAGGCAGCAACAGACCGACCGCACCTGAGAAGGGGGAGGATGGTTACATCAATCTGCCCCATAGGGATGGCCTGATTGCACCAATGGGGGCAATGAAGTGATGCTCGAGGCACCCGAGATGATACGGAGGTCAACAGTATTAGAAATGGGGGGGGGAGGAGAAAGCAGGTGCCAGATGGGACAGCAGCTACAGGAACGATGACCATGTGAATGGAAGGGGGAGAATAGAGGGCAAGAATCAATGGGAGGTGTTAAGGGCGCAACCCCACAAGAGAAGAGATGGCAACTGGGATGTGGATGGGGGATACGGAAATGAGGAAGGGGAGAGAGAATATATCATAGCAGGACAGCCCGGACAAAGGGGGAGAAAGTGTGAGAAGATAGGGCAGCTGAGAGATATGGAGCTCCTGAATAACCAAAAAAGAGGGGAGAAAATTCCCCCAACGTAGGACCACATGAGGGGAGAATGCATAACAATACACACAGGCAGGAGATGCAAGAAAAGCACAGTCATTGATACGGAAGTTACGACTAGAGCGCAGCTTAGCCAATTAGGACCGGTGATGAGATCTAGGAGCCAGGTGCAAGCAGCGTTTTGCCTATAAATGAACTCTCCCATTGACTAACATTATACCCTGACGATGTCAGTAGCTGCCGACGAAAGCTAAGTGATTTATTGTATTAAACTTTTATAGTTTCATAATATTCCTGGTGCTCATGTGTTTTTTGGTCGCTTAGAATATGTGTGTGTGTGTGTGTGTGTCTTTTAAAATACTAAAAATGTGAATCCTGGGCATTATGCTAACAAATAAAAGAAAAAACGAACACCAGGATATAATAAACCAGCCTATTTAAGAAGAGGCTGTGGTTAAGAAGAGTTACTAAGCTTTTGTCCGGCCAAAAAACTGCCGGTGTCATCAGAGTTAGAATAGCAGGAGATTGGGAAGGCAGCTCATATAGCCTCCTGCCTCTGCACCTGGCTCTTTGAGCGCGTCATTGGCCCATTGAGTATATTAATCCTTATCGCACCAAAGACAGTCCGCATCAGGCAAACTTTCTTTGACT